CAAACCGACAACTGAATTCAGAGAAAATGTCAAATTGTTTTTTTACCGATTAGAAAACATGAATACATATTAACAAAGAACAATCAAAGAAATAGGAAGGATATACCGAGGAATTTATTTGTTTATATTTTACACTATACAGATTCGAAAAAAGTATATTAAAAGTGTCTACATATATACAATAAAATAAAACATATGATATGGATATAATAATAAATACTTAACATATTTACATAGGTTTTGAAGAAATGTTGAGAAACCCGAAAAATAATTTAAATTGTAGAGTTGACACAGTCGTGTAAACAAACAATGTATTTCCACGTGCTGTATACGTCACTCGTATTCGTACTCACATACAGAGGTTATATACGATTATACTATTTAACACCAAATTTCTCCGAAAATCATATTTACAATTTTGCAGATTTCAGAATTTGTACCCGTGTATATAATATTTAAAATACGAGAAAGGATTAAAGCCAAGTTAACAAGTAAATGAGGTTCGACCCGACCACACAGAGGGCCACACAGCCTCGCATGCAGTTGGCCAGTCTACCCCCCCCCCCCCGTCTTCAAAAAAGAGGGCATTGGCACGCAAAACATGTTGCACAATATTGAATGTAATAATGAAATAATCAAGAAATCAACTGATATAATTATATGTATACTTTAAACATACTAATGGTGGTTCTACTGGTGGAAAGCACGTTTTGCAGCCAGCCTTTCTGACCGACAAACAATGTTCAACAGATTTGATGTCGCCAAAATGTTACAATTTGTTACTAAGTGTTACTATAATTTAGAACCAATTCTAAAATGCATGATGTATTTTCCATGTTTGAACTGAAGAGTTGAAAATTTTGGATGGAAAAATATTTTTTAAAACGTCAGTACGTCAGTATATTTTTTTAAAGGTTGTGACTGTGGTTGAACACTTTCATTAACAATAATTAGTTCGGCCGGTTCGTCCGAGCCACGATTTTAATTTCTAAGACCAGATCAGATAGAAAACACAAATTCTAATCTTCATATAAATTATTGATATGAATATGAAACCACGTAAACCTACTAATGTTGGCACTTGCCGCTGCAATATTTATAAAGATGGCGTGGACGTTTAGTTATAGTAATTAAACTTTGCGCTTGCATTACACCATGATTCAAATTCATATTCAAGGAAGAAGTCTTGATATTGAATATGCTTGGTAATACCAATAAAGTTCATACAGTCACGGCCGATTTACCAGTTTTAACTACGTGGAAACAGATCTCATCAATTGTTTTCAAGAATACGTTTCAAATAAACAAATTTTAAATTAAGTTTTTCTGAAATCATATGGTATTGCCATAGATTCATGAATTCTAAAATGTGTGTTTATTTGCAGTAAACCGTCCACACCTACAATCTATGCTTAGGGTTGTTTTTCCCAACAATGTAGGAGATCTTAATCACAAGTAACCGCCAAGAGTGACAGAGATAATGTCACGAGAATTGTTTTGCCCGCCCTAAGTTATCGTGTCCACTGTTCTCCTAAAATGGTAATCATTTCTCCTAAAAATGGTAATCGTGGCAACAGTAGACGCGATGACAGTAAATGAGAAAAGGGCAAAAACCAGTCGTACAACTCTATCACTCTCAACGAGATCTCGTTGACCATTTATGATTAAGGTGTATTGTCAATCCGCTCATCTAGTTAGTAATGCATTTTCTCTTGCCATTCACTTCAAATATCACGGTTACCACGGTAAAAGCGATATAAAACATCACTAGAATCGCTCCGTTCAGCCTATTTAAACGCCAACGAGATATTGCCAAAAAGAATAGCGGTATGAGTCCACTTGCCAACAATAACGACCCGGAAAATGCCACTCCACCTGAAACATCGATCGCCATAAGATGTTGGCCATTCGTTTTATGTGCGAGAGAATAGACAAACCAGGGGAGTCCGGCACATACAAGAATGTTGAACACGTTATTACCGAGAGCATTGGCTATGGCGATGTCAGCATGTCCTAAAAATGAAAGTTCGAATGTAAGTGATTACTAACTTATTCAAAGTAACTAAGCACACAATTAAAGATTGTCTCCGATGCCGTGCAATCAGTGCGAGAATGCGATGAGGAGGATTTCGCGTGTGAGACAATCTCGTCATTGGTCTACGTGATTTTTTTTTCTCAATCTCACTATGATTTTCGAATTTATAAGAAAGAGCCATATTCAAGATGGCGGCGTCCATATAGTAAGTTAATATAGGTTAATTAATCGCATGTATTTTATTATCTCTTGTACGCCACCTGAGTGTGGGGTTAATAACAGGGTGACATCAATGATTGATAGAAGCCGGCGTTGGGGGCAGTAAATAAGCTATTACTAAAACATTTCACACAGGGAGAAATCTACTACATTCTACGGCATGTTATTCTCGGTAAAGATTCGGCGGTAATCAAACAATAGAGAAATACTGTGAATTTAACGTTGATTATACTGACGAGAGTCCTTTTATAAGGGGACTCTAATACTGACCTTTCTGCAGCGCCACCACACTGAGAACTATTGTAGGCGCCGAAGCTCCGAGAGTACCAAACGTCAACCCCATTACAGTATCGGGTATTCCCAATACTTCAGCTGAAATAAAAACATTCATTTGAATATGAAATAGATTTAATATTAGATAGATATACATGTAATAGATTTCGCGGTTATGTTGACACTAACTACACGATAACGAACGCTAGAGACGAAGTAGGCACGTTTGCGGCAGTCACGTGTTTTCTCGTCGCTGCCAATGAAACTCTTTTCTTTGGCGACTATTTAACAGAACAGAAACTTAATAGACCTTTAAAAAAATATATTTCTTTTTTTAGAATGTCCAAAGTGCAAAAATGGTTTAACCATTAACATTATCAACTAGCTAGTTACTTACCGGTGATGTTTAACATAAGCAAGAATACCAATGTGAAAAACACCAACCACGCCACTGACATCACTATTGCTAAGGGATACCATTTTCTCCAGCGCGGGTTATGACAATCCGGAATTGAAATATAGAGGGCAGCGCTTACTGGCGCGTCGAATACATAGTACACTTTCCCCAATTTACTTTTGGGAAAGTGATGTAAATAATGTACATAATGTCCATCTTCTCCCTCAGTGGCTGCCTCCTCGAACACATCCATAATAGTTTCGTCAGTGTGTGATTCGGCGAACACACTGTGTTCAATAATGTGCTGTTTTTCTCCTTTTTCGAACTTCTTATAACAACACTTTCGGAAACTCGCCTCAATACGTTGATTAAACACAACGACCACCACGTAGACAACGTAGAGGAACAGCAATATGGCTGATTCATACCTGGAAGGAAAATAATTCGATTATATGCAAAGGTTCATTTTGGTAATTGAAATAATTACGTGGTGCACTGTTATCTTAAATCATGTCACCTCACTGTAAATTGTACCGCACTGAACCGCCCCTAAGAATGCACCAAACCGTGTGTCTAGGCGTGGATAAGCAATGAAATGCGAAATGAAATATAGTTATCGAGCCGCGTCGTGTTGGATATGGAAGCGACGCATGCAAAATAAAATGTGTGTATGCATTTAGAGGCTCTTTTAAATGCCTTTGTAGAGCGTGCGTACCCATGCTCCAATTTGAATGACACCCCTAAATATTGTACTGTGTATACCACTTACCAGTAAACAACCCCGTCAACTAAAAAAATCACCATAGGGATTATACTGATACTGTACAGTAAGGTATCTCTCACAATCGGCCACCATTCCAGCAATGTCTGTAAGAAAACGTTAGAATTATAAACGTAAATTGGATTCAGTGCGAAGATGGGAGTGATCACAATACATCACCAGATTGTAATAGCGGTTTAGGTGAGAAGCAAATCAATATCGGCTATATGTGTTTTGATTTGCTATGGTTCCCCTTTGAAATCGGGAATGGGTACCATGCGGAGGTCATGCGCGAGACAATATATCATCCGCCATATATATTGCTGACTATAGATATAAACTCTAATATTGTTTAATTTGTTTTCAAAATGATAGCTTACAGGTGTGCATGTGTATGATTATATGCATGCATGGAGAATGACTGTTACTGCCAAAGCTTATGGGATCAATCGAACACACAAAGTGATGACGTGCAAAGACGACGTCCATGCTTAATATGGAATTATGGGTTATGATGTCACTACTTGTTGTTTTATGAAAAAGGAAAGTAGAGGTATGATGAACTATGTGAATAACATGTCAACTATTTTGTTTATTTAGCGCTCCATGACTAAATTACTAGATAATTCAATCAATTTTCAAGCATTTTATTTTAGTCCAATCTCCAACCCCGATATACAAAAATAAATGCAGTGCTAGAAGAGCCAATTTAGTTATTATTCTAATTTTATTTAGAAAATGTATAGAACAAAGCCACGCGACATTTCCTAGTGTCTAAGTATCTGTGAACTTATTCATGGATATTGTTATTATCAATTATTTTTAAAATACATTTTTTGAGAAAATTGGCCGAATATTAGTTTCTATAAAATAAAGCTAACAATGTTATTTCTAACCTTTTTTAAATTCGGATTTTTCAAACAAATTTAGAACTACTGAGTGTTCCATGTCTGTCATAATATAGACGTGTTCAACCTATGTCACCCCAAACAATGTGAAACTATGACGATACGTATATATTTACTGTGAATATGGCCGCCATTACTCTTGTAAATACGTCAAATGTACTAAACAATATCATTGTATCTCAACCTTTGGAGTTTTTAAAGCGTTATTTTACAAATGAATGTCTACTTGTAACCGTACAGTAATCTTTTTATAATTCAATAATCTTTTTAATTCACTATTATCGTTACTGAGTTATATACAATATGCATGCAACTCATTCATATTTACATATTTTACGAGAAAAAATGATTTGTTGTCATATGCAAAATAATCTAAAAACGGCCATTTTGGAACATTATATAGGAATATATGTGAATACTGTATTCCATGGAGCTTATAATAAAACTCAAATAATACTAAAATTTTTCCTGACATCCATATGTATCCCTCATAACACTACATATCATGTTTCTAGCTTAGGTCTGATAGGTGACAAAACACAACTTTGAGATATGATCATGAAGGAATGTTTCTACTTTAGGAACCAATTCTTATCCATAACACAAACACAAAATATTGATCAATTTTGTTAAAAATTTAGTTCAGTGACCATATATTTGTATTTCCGAATTGAACATTACAGTAATTCAACCCCTCTTGCTGAATTCGGGGATTTTTGAATATATTTTTTAATTGTAGCGATCTACTTTAAATCACCGACTGCTTTCTTGTCACACACGCCATCCTTCCATATACCAGTCACCGCAATAGCTGCACGAGTAAACCCGTGGCCATGGTATTGTATCTCTCTTATTAACAGTTGTTTGCTTGAGAAAAGCGAACTGTCTGTCGAATATGTGGCTGGACAAACATTTGTTCGATATTTTTGCTAAAACGATCCGTACTTTATTCCTATTCTACTAGTGTCTTTGTATATTCAATTAACACAGACGAACTTAACATTTTCCGGCCATTTCACCTATAATACTCGTTCTGACACACAAAAAGACATGGATTGCCCGGTGTATTAAACACGTGACGACAGGTGACATACCGATGGCGATAAGAATGCGCATATTCCAACTATGAACATCAAAATGTAGGCAGAACCAACAACTGTCCCAAAACCAACGCCTTTGCTACCCGTAACTGTGCCTAGAAATAAATAAAAACATCAATGCTAAACATATACATGTAATCAAATATAACATCTAAGTATTTACACTGGTACCACACAAAACAAAAACTTGAATATTATAAGCAGTGTTTGATTATGTACATTTGACAAAAGTATAATATACTCAATAATATACTCAGTAGAGGAAAATTTAGTTCAACTCATAAATCAAAAAATGTCAGCTACAATTAGCTGGCGTTTATACTCAAAACCTGAAAGTTGTCGCCCACGTCGTGTTAGATATGGGTCTCGCGAGATTTATACAACGCTTGTAAAAATAGATTATTTGTTTACGCAAAATTCCAAAGCGCCACAATACAACAGTTGCGCTTTAGTAACCGCCTCAACTAAAACACATTTTAAAAACACTCAAAATACGATAATTTAGCAATAATTGTACAAACATAGTTAGAGAAGAATATAATTTTGTCCTTGATGTAGTCTATCGAATGTTTATTTTTACGTTCGGTAAAATAGCTTGGTAGTGTTGGTTTGAAATAACCACACGTATGGAGAGATCAATGGGTCAAATGCAAATTTGAGATTTGAAATAGGAATTAATGTCACAATGACCTTGCGAACAGTATCATACATATGAATGTTAGTTGTTTATTATTATCAAACACTTAAACTTATCTATAATAGTATTTCTAATGATATCCAACTGTAACATACATATCGTTTATACCGGTATGTCAACTATCGTAAATTGCAATTGTTTGTAAACCCAGGGGAATCCAGGATTGTCACCAAAACGATCGACTGCTATGAGTGAAATGTCAGACAAATATGCTATAGTAACATGGATTCATATGGAAATATTTCTGTAATGTCCATGTAATATATCACATCTTCTCAGACATCTTTCTATTTTTTTTTGTTCCGGTTAAAAACAACAAAACAAAAGTTTGTGTGTAAATCAACAATTATTATAAATTGGAATAGGAATACCCGCCGCCGACGTTTGTTTCTCGTGCCTATGAATTAGACCGTACTCTTTGTCAGAGGTGTCTCTCTAATGTATTCTTAACCAAAAGTCATAATATATTGCAGCTACAGTGTGATTTCCTTATCATCATCGTTATCACTTTCACCTCTTAGTAGTTGTTTTCATAATTGATAATATCACGAACTTAAAAAAAATAAAAAAAATAATTGTACTAGAAACAATAGTTGAGGCAATTGAAACTGTGAATTAACAGCTGTTGGTCACGCAAACGAAAATTTGATTGACGCCTACACGGAGCCGACTTTACTTAACACGTGTAGACGGAGACGCGCCACGTTGGCGGATCGCACGTAAGTGAATTGAGTCATGGCTTTGCACGAAATTCTAGTGCAAGCGAGATGACCATCTCCCTTTAAAATACAGTGTGAATTATATTATTATATAACTACAGTATTGCTAGTAGTCAATAACGGATTATATCATTATTAAAGCAATGGTGGTGGCACAGGGGGGCAGAGGGAGCGGTCACCCCTCTAACAAATGTTTGGGTTGTCGCCCCTTCAAAATCAAGCTGATACCCCTTGTGTCAGCCAAATTTGACCCTCAAAATGTAGGAAATAGCGTTTCAGAGGGTCCTCACTCTTTTAATTTCGAGACTGCCAGTTGGCAGATGCTAATTACCATGGATACGTACTAATCGTGGTGATGAGAACTTCTCCTAGTGATCCACCCACAGCAACGAACGTTGTCCCGGCAATGTTCTTCGATATTTTTAATTCTGTAATGTGCAATTATAGATGTTATGTTAGTTTTAAAAATGTAGAAATGTAGTTTTTCTCGTGTGACTGCTGCATATATAATATGGAACAATTAACCATATAATACCAATATGACCTGTACACAGTATATAATGTAGATATTAGTGGGGGCGTTCTAATGAACGTAGTGTTTATCTGATCTACAGCAACTTGAACAGCACAATTTACATTAATTCACCCTGAAGCATTATTTGATACTGTCAGACGTGGCATTGTTGCCTTGGTAAATGTGTGACAACTGTTACGTGAAAGTAGACGGCTGTCACGGTATCAGTCTTAAGCTCAGTTAGTATTTTTGCCGAACACGCTAACATTGAAAATAAAGTGGTCTGTGTTTACCTGTAAAACATTGTCAGCTTTCAATGCTCTTTAATCGTTTTTGTTAATTAACACAATTCTTATATAAATTTTCCCGTGGAAATAGCTGAAACTGTTATCTCTAAGTGCACTGCTAGTTCACTTTTTACATACTAACAAGGCGTTAATAAAATGGCAGATGCCAGAACGAGTTCGTGCCGATACCATGTTGTAGATGGGTTAAGCCACATCACTTTACGAACACGTCGTTTGCCATTATAGATGAGTGCGTTGACTATTCTCTTCGATATGGTTCAATGAGTACTTTGACTATTCTCTTCGATGTGTATTTATCTTTTGCATATAAATGTTCGGATATGCTTGGAGACCGGAGACATATCAGGCTTCCGGTCTTAATGAAATGTGTTTTACAAAAACAACTTTCAAACATACTTCTCGTCGATATAATCGTACCGATATAGAAAGTTTAGTACATAAAAACGAATTGTGTTCTGACAATGGGAATATGCATTAAAACACCGGAAAACCCGCGATTTGAAACAATATAGTCTATATATATTGTGTACACATCTATCCTACAGGTCCCGAGTCGCCGTACTTTTTCGGCTTTACGAATTGTGGCCGTATTCCGTGTGCGTGCCTCTTTTTCCGTAGTTCTAAAACCGTGAACTCTGATCACGAGATTTTCGACTTGAGAAAAAAGTAAAACAACGATTTTTCCATCACGAGAAATATTATAAAAAGAATCACGCAAACAATTCTGTGGTTACGAAATCAAAATAATGGTAATTGATTTAAATAAACCTACCTATACACATGGCCTCGATGGCAGGTATGAAATATCGAGCGGATACAGTGTTCATCGCAGACACCATATACAGAACAACCAAAATTGGTATCACAACTGCGCCATGTCGTAGTTGCTGGGCGGTAAATAATACAGCCGATGTAACATCTGAAGGCCCTTCTTCGACACAGTCATTACTCACCGAGTACGAGATGTTGGTCAAAGCAGTCGATTGATTCATTATTTCAAATGAATATTGATGTTGTCACATTACTTGGATGGAATTGTCATCTTCCTATATCACAAGTCTATTCCACTGCATGTTTTATCTTCCAACCATTTTGACAAAATGCTATTTTTGTACCATGAATATCGTAATGCGTGCATAATCCTCAGAGCAAAAAGTCAGGTAGGGAGTGTACACAAGGCAATACTTCGGGTTCTGCTGTTAGAAACTTCCAAAGCAGGCGATGAAAAAATTCCACAACGCTCCGTGTAGAATTGTGTTTTTATCGTGACGAGTAGAGCTCGGAAACTCGCGCGCCGGAATGACTCGGTCACCGTTGAATCCAGGGTACAATGTGTACCAGCTGAAGTAGCTTATAGACATCTGCATAAACTACAAATATTGCTATAAACTAACAATTAGTCAATTGTTTTAGCGTATTACGGGCACCAGCTGCCGCAAATAAAAACTCCTTATTTGACATTGTTGTTGAATAACAATTTTCATCTTTCTGTCAGCCCTGTATAAAATTTTATATTTTCTCCAGTCCTATTGTATAGGCAATACAAAATAACCAATGTAAAGCTCACATCACGCCAGATTAGAAATTATGACAGCTGGCATGTTTTGTGTTGATTTTCAACAGACGAAATAATAACGGATTATATTGAGTGCATATTTTTTTATAATTTCATAATTAGCTTATTGTATTTAATACATCCTCTATAGATCAAGAATTCCATAATACGTGAACAAAAAATCCAATATTTGCTAAATTTCCAGCCCCCTCCCCCTCCCTCGTTCCCACCACAGTCTATGGGAATATAAATTCCAATCTATAATATAACTGACTGGGCGTCGGAGCTGCTGTCGCAACAAGGCCGCATCATGCGGTTTGCCTTTCGCTCGCATACCCAGGAGGTTAATTTCATAAGCGTAATACAAAAACCTAAAGCAAACTATATTTTCAGCCAAATTGTTATATGCACGCACATTTATCAGATACGCCTTGGCAAATTTCACGAGCTCGTGTATAGAATATGGCCGACTGGCGGCATTTTCTTGTGCCCTCCCGGGTAATCTCTGTCCTGTATTTTTAGTCGCGACTACAACAACAGAATAAATGAGCTTCTAAACATATTAATGGGAATAGTGAAGATGTTCGAGTCAGTATGTGTTGCTAATCCATATTTCAAAGTCGTCTTATTGAATCTTTGTATTCGTTTTTTGTTGTTGTTTTTTTGTTTGTTTGTTGCGGTATGAGACACTATTAATTTCATTCATACATGTCTCGTTCGTTCGTGATTTGAAAACATTCGCGTTTGCATAAATTAAAAACCGAAAACAGATTTTTATTGAGGAAACCTAAATCGAGTGACCTCCAACTCACACACACCCTCCGCAATGAGTATGACAATACCCTTAGTGTTTATCCCTGCCTACCACACGTGGGCGTCTTAATACACTGGTAAAGCTTTTAAAATATGCAAGGTCTGAAACATTTGTCCAGTTTCGATTCTGACATTATTTTAGTTTTGGTAACTGAATATAGTCTAATCTTTTCATACTACAACATTTATGTGCATGAAGTCACAAATGATGTACCGGTAAACAATTTACGTCACGTGTTTACACAGAGAAAAGCATGTCTACTGTTGACAGTATTAAAACAAAAATCGTCACCAAATATAGTATTTTGTAATACTGTAGCTGAAAATGATTGTGTAAATTTATCCATTTCGAAATAAATAGTACTAACAGCCATTAAAATGTGGTGGGGTCACTTGCTTTTTTTAAGGAAATCATGGTTATATTTTTTTTTTTTACCATTTTGCCCGTAATAGAACGCTTGTGTGGAACCGTCAGCTGCACATACACAGTGACGGATTGACTGTTGTGTTGACATATACATATCCCATACAATACATCGAAACGTCACCTGAATACATCTGTTCCTACATAGAATTGAATCTATTCGCGTTTCCAGACAAAAAACGCCTAGAATATGTTTTAGATAAAAAACAATAATTCAGTTCAGTGGCTAGATAATAATTAAAGACACCTGGCAACCACAACTTGTAAGGTAGATCATTCCACTGATGACAAATCAGTGATGATAGCCAAGAGTTGAGAAAATACATTTCAAAAATATATTTTGTATATAGGAAAATACAAGTAACAAGTATTTTTGTTTTATGTTTAAATATTTTTGTGTATTACATTTTGATAAAAACACAATATAATTTTTCTTAAAATGAACCTATTTTGGCAGCAACCAAGGCAGTATTTGTTCGATAAAAACGCGGATATCATAATGACAACATTATGTTATCATACAATAAGGTTTTGTTGCAATCTCAAACCAAATTATTTAAACATGCTCAATCAAGGATACCACATTACATCTTTATGCAATGTACAATATGATTCAGCGATTTTTTACTTTGTACAATTTGTTTTTGGTCATCCTAGGTTATAAAGCGCCCTCTATAGGCTAATTATAATATTGCAGTCAGCCATTTTGATCCAGAACTTGACTTGTGTTTGTAAAGGTTAATTTGATCCGGAATCGAAATTACACTGTTTGATTTTGATGATTTTATATTGAGTCTCATCGAGAAACAAATGCATGTGTATGAACTATGAATGGAGTTCCAACACGACCAATCAAGGCATGTCAGAAACATCGATCTTGGACGGCTTTCATTAAAACAAAATGACCAACAGTCGGTCGTTTTCAAGCTGCAAAAAGTGACGTGCATCAAGATCCAATAAGTGTCCAATGTATGTATCAAGTTTCAAGAACGGCCGCTCATATACGATCTGGTAGCATTAAAATGGCTGCTATTCGGCCATCTCAAATCGGTAGTATAAAAATGGCTGATTTTCGGCCATCTCAAATCGGTAGCATTAAAATGGCTGCTATTCGGCCATCTCAAATCGGTAGTATTAAAATGGCTGATTTTCGGCCAACTCAAATCGGATTACTACAGGAATGCACGAGCTTATGTATCTTAAGATGTGTGAAGTTTGATTTTTTGAAATAAAACAATATGACCATCAGTCGGCCATTATGAATACGATCTCAGCTGCAACACGTCTTTTATGATTCGAAAGTTTGGTGGGTCAAAAGTGTGCGATATCGCACATTGCCAAAAGTATTTGGGTTCACCGAGTAATGTTGCCAGCTGCTCTGCTTTATGAAAGTGAGGTAAATGCTCACCAAATTTGCTCACCACTTACCCATCCTTGACTGTACGGGCGCGGTTGTATGCATTGTTGCCACGTGAAACCATATATCCTACAAGGGTTATAGGGTCTATGAAACGTATTGGCACCAGCATCTGAACTCCGACTATAGCTTAAAACTTATATGATGTTATAAAATATAGATGGACGAATGTATATGGGATGTATATGGGCAATTTAAAATAAACATGTTTGGTTCATTCTGGTTTTGGCTACGTGTAGTTGGCAATGTACGCCTTTTTTAAATGTGTTTGTGATTCAAAGACTCAAAATAACAAGAATGATGGGCTGCAATGAGAAGTAAAAAAACACTATATATTATAGAAATTATACGATACGCTTGAATTGTATATTTCACGTATTGCTAAATTTGAAATAACGAAGAGTACTCGATAGATCCAGAAGCGTTTGTCATTGACAACAAGGAATGACTAGGCAAATGAAGTTTTGTAATTTATGTAATTTTATAGGTATAACCACATTCTCCAATGTGCGTAAGAAATTACATTACATATTTATTATATTAATTTATAAAACGTGTTATAAATCTTTATGTGTTACTAGAGTGCTTTACCTTCATTTTTTAAACCCATTTTAAAGCAGGAATTCTTTGTGAAAGGTTTCGATCTCTATATTGCATTATAAATCTTTTCAATAAGGGATCAATCCCATCAACTCTAGTGGCACGTGACAAAACATTTCCGCCGATGATACCGTTCTGTGGTTAAGGAGTGTTTTTTTAGCCTTTCTACTTCCTATAATTTGCTTTCTGAATAGCAGACTGGTCTCAAACAATCTTCTTTTGTGATTCCATATTCACAAAACTAAAACTTCTATGTGGAAATTTGTATATTGGCAATGCAGTTCCCTTCATCTTACATATATTCATAATCTATTATACATCTCAAAGGGAAATCTTTCCATACATGTACTACATTTGAGTTCACTTCACTCTCACCACTGATTGGAATTTCATGTTCTAAACATATGTCAGGCATATATATCAGTCACAATAAGTGGCACAGTAAGTGATATAGTCTAAAAGCGACTGATATCAACAAAATTAACATCAGCTTTCATCACTTATTTGAATATCTAACTTTATAAATCAATTCCACAACCTTTAGATATTGCTTTCTGGTGAACGAAAATGACTTACATGTGAAGTACATTTCTCAGTCATTGTTTTTATTTGGGGGAACTGCCAAACAAAATGATATACGCAATATTACAATTATTTTATTTGTTCTATCAGAATCACATGCGTTTATGCAAGTCAACATTAATAAAATGAAACACATTTGTATGTCACGTGCTTCTAATAAAGTATTACATATTCAGTACTATTCTCATTATCAATTAACAAGTAAATTATTAATTATATTATTATATGGTCCCACACTCTATATTTCTATTTCTCGTATTTGCAACCGGACTCACTCAATGTTAAACTTAATGGTCAGATTTGTTTCATATTTCTTATTTTTTTTATTATTTTGATTTTTTGACGATGAACATTTACCACACCCTTTGGAAGATATTCCTACAAATAAGCATAGGCGTGTATTATGATTATCATGCACAGATGGCCAACTTTAATCAAAACGCACTATGAACAAAAACTTAAAACTCAAAATACTAGTAACCGCGGGTCTGGGTGTATAAAAGGAAAGATGGCCGCCACTTTTCAGTATGCAAATGACACTCAAGCGTGAAACATCTCTTCGGGGTGCTCCGCAAAATCACTCTTTTCGGCAATCTTAACGCCTGTGGTGCTTTATCTTCATGTCGTACACAAACATGAATATATCCGCGATACAACTGCGATGTTAATTTACGAGTTCGGTGCGATGTCAGTGTGATTTCCGCGTAAAAGCGATGGAAAAGCATGATTCATTTTGACTGCTCAAACTGGCTGTCAGTCATGGGTTTATGCAAATGTAAGGTATTAATCCCGAGTTGTTTTTTTCAATCTCTAGGTATGTTTATGTAATTACGGAGTTGATCATGTAAGTGATATCGTGGAGCTAATAAGAAATAATATGTTGTGAGCTGTTTGTCCGTCCGTCCAACTCATGACAAATTGCT